ATTTATGTCCACGGTTGCTGCTGACTAATTTACGTGCACCACGAGATTAACAGACCTACAGTAATATCGTTGGCTTTCTGTAATTCAATATTATTTTACGTCAAGGTCATGTTGTTGCACTTGTGGTAGCCAAGAAACTTGCTTTTTAAGGACCTCGGGAGAAGTGTCGACAGAATAATATATTTAACAAGAAGGGTAAACTGCTACAGTGACTATGCTTGCATGGATGAGTCGTAGGGTCTCGATAATGTCTTCGTATTGACCCTTTTAGACCTCCACTGTTGTTTGCACACCATTTTATTTCGAGCGTACATCCTCTGGGTTAATGTATTTCCAGCTCCCAATTTCCATTCCATTGTTCTCACTTTGTGGAAGAATCACTGCCACATGGGGAGATCGAGCAAGTCTTCTCATGTCACTTCTATGAAAGTGCAGCCAGACAACAAAATTTAGAAAAGGAAATGGAAAATATACAATCTCTGGCACAACAGACCATCTGAAATGCATCACTTGAAAACTTGTTGCTAACAAAATTTAACATATCACTCCCAATCCAGTTTCATGGACTATGTGTAGAACTATGGTCTACTATGATATTAGTACTGCTCTAATAATAGACCTAATCCTAAATTTGTAGATTTGTCATGATATAACTGCCTAATCTATAAGATCTTACGTGGAAGTCACACCATCGACTACACCAACTCACTGTATCGTATCAATTACCAATACATGATGTAGAACGAGGTTAGGCTAGAGAAAGAACAATATATTTAATATGAATAGAAGATATAAGGTAGCATTCAGATGGACCACGCCTGCATGTCCGAGCCATGCCACTCGATCAACTCCAGTCTATTCAATTCATTGTTCGCGCCTTCTCCACTGTTAGGTATTTCTCCGCGTTAAATATTGAATATCTATTTTCTGAGTAGTCTCGTATTCACAGCTTTGTGGATTGTGTGGCTATTGTTCAATGCCACTACATATGCACTAGTTACCAAATCAAACACCTTTAAAAATAATTTGTTTAAAGCAAGCTGAACTTACTGACGAGTTCTTGTTAGTTTTAATTTGAGTTGTGCAACTCGTTCGGTCAACTTTGTAACAACTTCGTTCAACAGTATTTTTTGACTTACTGATGTACACAGATGCAACAAAACAACAATAAATAGTGTTGCACAGTTTGGAGTGTTTAACAAGAATTAGTTGATATTCAGTGGATCAGATGAATCTGACAGGAAAACTTATTCTGAAACTGATATTAAAATCGCTACTAAAAATAAGCAGTTTCATCCTTTTCATGTTTTCCTTCCATACCATAGGATAGGCTGGTGTATCTGTTTAAAATATCACAGCAACGTTCTGTAAGCTGCTTCGCTGTTAGCTCTGGCTCTTATCTTAATATTTCTTTTTCACTCTTACTATGTTGTTTTGGACCGATAACAGGCTAAGCGTTTTCGATATATCAGATTACAGCATAATTGTTAACTTAACAACATAAGTAGGTTAAAGTTGCGAAAACAATTTGCTGGTTTATCTCACTTATAACATGTTCGAAAATTATTTCAAGTTTTTTCACTCTCAAATTTTGATGTTAGGAAGGGCGTACTTAATAATCATCCAATGTGCTTCTCAGAAATATTGACTTAAACTAATGAGCGCTACCGACCATCAGATGATAGCTTAAAGTTAATTTCGTAATGAACGTAAAATACTTCATAAGCACGTTCAAAATATCATTGCTACGCAAAGACAGCGGTCTAAAGATGGTGTATTTCGACACTGTAATCAACACTTTTTAGCTTCTAATAAAATAGAGCTTGGTTACAATAGGAGGGAAAGGATGGAATACTGGGAAAATCTCTCCAAAGTGTTTTATAGAATAACATTGTCTTGCAGCTTTACTTCCACTTAGGCTTCTTTGAATCATTTTCCGTACTTCTTAAGAACCTTTGTGTATGTTTTCGTTGCTCAACTTCTGTCAAAGTTATTTGCCTTTGCTGTTGTATGTTGTTGAACGATTGACATAAGGTCGTGTATGACCGAACTCGGAGTTAGGGAGTGGAGTGATTGAATTTTTTGAGTCTTGTAAAGAATAAGCATGTGCCGACCAGATAGCAACATTATGGATCTTTATTCTGTGAATGACTTGATGAAGTCCATCATTATGAGTCAAATTCCTCGATTACGTTAACAGGAAAACCTTATGAAACTTCCTTCTACACTACGAATTGTCTGCAAAGATTGTCACCATCATTCAGTACTCTTAAGAGAGACTAAATCGCAGAGTCGCTCGTGGTAACATTCCAAGCGAAAACTAATACTGGACAAAACTATCTTTTCAGGCCGTTTCTTCTCCTGATTGTTGACTGAACTGTGAAGACTTCCACATCTAAGAAGCTATGAATTCAGTAGACACCTTGGGTGCTGCCGGAGTTTGAAGACTGCTAAGCCCCTCTATATCACATATATCAATAAATACAAGTAAAGACAGGCAGTAGTTGAGGGATTTTAAAGTACGCCTCATCATGCACAACGGTAAGAGAAAGGTTGCGAACTATAAACAGCGAGCAGTAGCCAAATAACGCCTAATAGTGAAGCTCCTGATGAGATGGGCAGTATTGTCAGTAAACAAAGGAATATGGGGCAGATGTTAGGGTGCGAATCGGTAAAGCAAAGTCAGTATTCCTTAAATTGAAAGACATCTACAACTCGAGAAAAATTCAGTAAAGATCGAGATTAGAGTTTTCAACCTGGAAAGTGAAGCAGCACAGTTTTGTCGATCAGTAACTCAGGGAACTAATACAACAATCATCAAATAACACATTTAATTATAGACAGCTAATATCAATCGGTTCATGATCTTAATCAAAAACTTAACAATCTCCACAACCCCTATACTCCTAAAAAATCTCTGACTCCTTGTGCATCAGCATCAACCTACTGGAACGAGGTACAAACCTGAGATGGAATTAGAAAAAGATGGAGGTAAATAACACATGGATTATCGAAACCATCAAACTGTGTAAAAAGACACTCTTCAACTTTTAATTCTCAAACTCAGAGAAAGCGAGGCAGACTCAACAACAAAGGCTCTGGGAATAAAAAGTGCATATCAAGACGGTTGATAGCACTTGATAAAAACTGAAAAGGTGACCCCATGATTTTGTTGATTGGAGATCCATTGTCGGGAGGATTTATTCTTAGAGGCGTAACAGGCTCAGATAATTAAGTAAGTATTACTGATGTATAAAAATATACTCTACTAAGATAATTCGATGAGCCATTTCTGAGGAAACAAGTCCTACACTTGCTTCAACATCTCGAACCAGATAACTTGAGTGGTCCTGACAATATTTATATACGAATCATGAAAGCCATGTGTGATGTAATTGCTGAACCTCTGAACATACTGGCTGATATATGTATTTCCCATTCCAGACTGCCAAGAGAATAAAAAGACGCGATAATCAGTCCAGTGTGCAGGACAGAGAGCATAGACTTAGTAATTATAAGCCCGTTAGTCTAACCAGTGTAGTTGTCAAATTAGTGGTGACGATTATTCAAATAGCTAATTAGACTACGTGGACGGTCATAGTCTTTCATCCAAAAACAATACAGTTTTAGAGAAGGCCTATCACGCTTGATAAATCCGCTCATTGCAAGAGAAAATTGGGCTGCAGCGAAAGATAGGAATATTTATCTGTAGATCTGCCTTTCATAGATCTGTGTGAAGCCTTTGACAGTCTCCCATCTAAGTTTTGAATTAAAACCGGAAAGTTTTGGGACAACGTTGTAGAATCGTAGACTGGATAACTGACTTTGTCAGCGATAGAAGACCAGGGGTTAAGGGCATATAGAGCCCCATCAGCGCTGAAATCTGAAGAATGTAGAGTTCCCCGAGGTACAATCCTCGGTGCTCTTCCTTTTTTACTTTATGTAAATGGCTTACAAATTGTGGCAAGGTCATCTGTTCTACTCTTTGCAGATGACATAAAGATTTATAGACCCATACATAGTATGTCAGGTAGAACATCGCTGGACGGCCTAAATTTACCGGTAGCATAAATGAGTACGTAGTCATCGTATGTTATCTCTAATTGGCGTGTGGTGGTGCAAAAAATATAACCACCACACAATATATAGGATTTTGTTACCGAAGACAATGGACTATAAAGATCCAGGAGTCATAATAAACAGCAACTTTAAAGCTAAAAGCACCTGCAAGGTTGTCACTGACAAAGTCTTCAGAGTCTTATAGGCTGTTCGTAAGTCATTACAGTACTTGGACAAAGACATGTTTGGGGTATTATACTTGTATTTTGTGAAGTTGCGTTTAAGGTATGGGATTCAAATAGCTAGTATTTATCCCCAGCATGAGTCGGATATGCCGGAAGGAGTCCAACGGCGTGGGACCAAAATGGTAAAAGGTCTCTTTGACCTATCCTATGTAAACAGACTGAGCCATGTCAACTTATTGCCATTATCCTAACGCAGTTTACGGAGTGATCTAATACTTGCTTGTCGTATACTAAACGATTACCTTAGTATTGGTGTGCCTCATCTTTTCATTCTATCTATAACTGATCATATCAGAGGACATTCTAAGAAAGTTAAAAACATTGAGATACAATCGTTTATGTCTGGAGTTTTGTTTCTGTACCGGAGTAGTGACTACTGGGATTCTCTACTAGAACTCACAATAACAGCTCCTTGTCTTGATACATTCAAAGAGAATCGGGCTTCCACAGTGTAACAAATTTCAAGGAATAACATAGGTCGATAAACCTCCTATTCTAACTGCTAAACACTGAAGACTAAATTCTTCTCAAATATTATGGTGTGTCTAAGCGTTATTTAACTATAGAAAAATTATGTACAGTGCTACTTGTCTAGCAAACTTTATCAGTAGACCGCAATAACATTCATGTACTTCACCATGTTTTTGTTAAAACGTACCGCAAATAGAGATCCTTTAACGACCTTAGGTAACCCAAGTTTGCCGCTGTGGTTAAACGTTTTGGCTTGCTTGGAGTTTCTGGCATGTAGACTAGTTTTGTAAGACTGTATTCCTTTGCTCTTTATCTGTGTACTTTTAGGGCTTAATTTGATCCATTATTTACGTCCCTTATCTAAACATAATTTGCAAATTTCTAATTTAGTTTCACATATTTAATCAATTTTTATTAGTGATGGCAATAAGCCCAGAATCAAATTTCGACCTCAAAGCAGATCCTGGAAGCGCATCATTTTCTGATTCTGGTGTAAGCAGCAGTTTCTCTTTAAAAACTAATGCGAGTGCCTCTGTCTCAATCATTCCTTCCCCTCCGTTATCTGGATTTCCTGGATGCACAGATTCAAATGGTTCCCCATCACTTGATCAATCATATCTAAATTTCCAAAATAAAACGTACCCAGGATTTTCGGACTGTAGCAATTTACCTATGTCTGCTAATCATCCATATCCTTTGCCGTCCAGACATTCTTTTCCCCAGGGTTTTTTACCAAGTCCACCGTCAGCCTATGCTTCAAGTTACACCTCTTCACATGGTGTTTCAAATTCGTTCTACCAACGTCAGGTTCCGTCCACTATTTGCTCAGCTCCTAACAACAGTTATGGTCTGTCACAGATATTTCCTCATGATATGTTACAAAATTCCATGATTGTCAACAGGGATCAACACAACGGTTCTGTTGGTTCGTTAGAAAGTCATTTTTCCCAACATCGTGACCATGGACAGTTTCCATATTCAGATCCGTTCCATTCTTCTGATTTACGTCCTCTTCACATCACTACGTCACCTCGCCAGTTAGGTCCTCACAACAGCCATACTAATATGGGTGATGTAACTTGTACAGATTCTCTTGGAAAAATTTCACCTCGAGATTCTCCTAACGGCGTACCCGATCATTCTATTACGCCTTGTGGAACAGTCAGCTCTGGTCCTGGGTCATTGGTTAACTGCAGATCGTCTAGAACCATAGAAAGAGGTTCTGAAGTATCTGCTGCTGATAGTAATTCTAACGTTGGATCCATAAAGGCAACATTCACTCCTTGCAAGGTATGTGGCGACAAAGCAAGTGGCTACCATTATGGGGTGATTTCTTGTGAAGGTTGCAAGGTGAGTGTTTCCGTGTGAACTTCTCTTTAAATTTATTTATATGTTTCTCTGCACTATCGTTTTACTATTTGCTAAGGGATTAGACTTCAGTGACGTGATTTCTTATTTAAGTTTCTGCTTTATTAAGTCTTTGGTGATCCCGAAGTATTCAAAGTTTATTTGATTATATTATTTCAAATAAATAGGTCCACGTTTTCAGTATGTCCAATTTATCATTGCTATTAGTTTTTAGTTAAACATCGACATCCACATAACCTAAATTTGCTTGAGACATAGTGTTGTTCTTGACAGGATATCTAAAAGTTATCGCTTCATGGGTCATTTCGGTTTAGTGCTGCTAAACAGGTTTTATTTTTACAATTAACCTAATTCTAGTGTTCAGCCCTTGGTTTTGGTATTCAAACCACATATTTTTATTACCATTGTTTTAACTATAAAACGGAAAACGAATGCTAGACAAAAACTAGTAGGCGTAAATCCCTGATTTCTCATTCAGAGTACGTTTGCTTTGTTACATACATAGCTGTAAAAATAAAGCTTGAGATAGCTGTCGTTAAAGGTTTTAGATATTCAAGAACTGCCCCACCATTATAAAATAGCAAAAGTAGTCACTTTTCATAATAAACTTGTTTAGTACAATGTAGTATATCCTAGATATCTCACGATGTCTGAAAGATGGTAACAGTGCTAAAAGCAACCAAGAAATTCAGGAACACACTGACTTCATTCTCACTTCGCGTTAACTTAGTCTGGAGAAGTGCCTTTACTTGATAATTATGTGATAGCTAGTCTTTAGGAGTTTATTAAAACACTTTGTTCTTATTTTACAACTTACCTAAAACAACGATAGTAATACTTACTGGTGTTCAATAAGTTCCCACATTTTTTAACTCTGATCTCCGAGACTTTAACTAACACTTATTTGAAAGTTATGCTAAGACTGCAGACTAACCTGGTTGGTAGTTCAAAATACAAGGTTCATCTTATTTTAAAATGTTGACTTTCGGTTAAAAGATTAGGGTTTAAAGTTTCACGGTTTGTCAAGTGTTCTAGACGGTTTAATCTGAATTTTGTTGACAACCGATTCGTTTAAGTATTTTTTCGTGGAAAAAAGTGGCATTATTACGAGGAAACTAAAGGAACTAATTATATAATAATGCCAGTAGAAATTATAAATTTTTCAGTCCAGACGTAAGTAAAGATATATAAACTGCATTTGTTTCAAAATTAGTTTTTACTCTTTATGCAATACAGGAAATTCTACACCAGCAACTTTGATGTTTAGCTGTGTTTTATAACATTTTAACGTGCTTAGTTGCATCATTCTTACGACCCAGTATAAAATGCCTTGCTAAACTAACAAACGCTACTCAAGTACAATCGTTCTTTGGTACATGCTTCTTCCACCTAGTTCCCTCATAAAAAAAGTGGTGTTATTCGTCAACTCGTCCGTTATACACTGGATTGACGTTTGACTTCAGATCTAGCTCGGTTTGATATTTTACTAAATTACTAGATGATGTCATTTTGCTTGCATATGTCCATTTAATAATATATGTTCACTAATAATAGGCTAAACTACTTTAGAGCACAGTGAAATTCGACCAAAATAATTAAATATTCCGATTTTCTCCCTCTGATCGAAAACTTTCAAAGGCTTAGTAATCATGAAAAATTGTTTGAGTATATTTCTTGCTGATATTGTTATTTTATCGTTTTAATGTTTCTTGAGACCTCTTATCCTTGCATAAGTAGACATTGTTTATTTCTACACAAAGTTTGTTCAACTGTTTTCTTATAATCTCATACGAGGAAAAGGGAACAGTTTGTGATTGATTCCAGACTGATTAGTATTTTTCAGATTGTCCTTATTGTTCGCCAACAATCTGTGATATTTTATATGATCACTTGACTGAGGAACATCTCTGGCGAAATAATCAAAGCCACTGTAAGTATCATTACCAAGTTTTAACTTGGTAATTGAGCATTGGGTAGATTGTTATATATAAATTAATGTATTTAAAACAAAACCACTGACTTTTTGTATCTGTCTCATTTAATGAATACATTGCTCAGTCCTATTCATCAACTAATTCAACCTCGATGTAAATAATCATCAAAGAAAATAGAAAAATGATATGCATTTAATCACATTTTCTGTTAACGGTATTGATTATAAAACCTAGCTTAATTGCGGGCAGTACTTTTAAAAACTCTTTTATTCTACCCTCACACACGCACACATTTCAATCAAGAAGAAAACAATTAACTGTATAAAGTAATAAATAAAATAGTTAAATTTGGCAAGTAATTATCCTATAGTCAATTATCTCATTTGGACAAAATTTTCAGTATCCACTTTGTTTACCAGCTTGTTTACATTAATGATATCTCATTTTTTTACTAAAAAGAACTTCATATAGAATACGCATAGTCTAATGCTATCTCAAATATAACTTCATTTTTGTAATGTTAATCATGATTCTTTTATGATTACTTTGATCCTTTTACGATAATCTCAGCTTAAAAAATAAAGTGCTAATTCTTCCATCATACTATTAGTTATATCTAGTATGCATGATTTTACAGTACTACTTGGCTCATGAAACCAATATTGATGAATTCGAAGTAATGACAAAATAGAAATACTCGTGTGCTTTTACTACTGTGTTAAGTGACTTTGTATTAACTTATTCAATAATCTGCTAAAAACTTTTATGAAAAGCACATAAATATCAATTATTATTGTAAAGTATTTGTGAAGTTTACTGAATTCTGTTGTTTACATTACCAACCAACTTTAGTCAACAACATTGAAAACCAAGAAGCGCTGTTTCGTACCAGTATAAGTTTCCTTACCAGAGTACATTCACGACCCCGCCAGCGATAAAATACATCATCCATAGATCTCTCCGTGAGCTCTTATCATTTAGACCACCAAGTCACCACCCAATGGTTTACATGCCTAACGTCAATTACTTTCCAATGCTGCACAACCATCTTCTATTGCCTACATTGGATAACTGTTCCACATACAATTTCACTAGTCACAGTTTTTCACAAGAACTTTCTAGTTAGGTTGTAAATGCACGCTACTGAGGAGTCACATACTAGGACAAACCAGTTGTCCAATACATCCTAACTGTTCAACTAAGATCAGTCAGTGATATAAACTGTGAAAATCTTAATTAGTTGTCTAATTAATTTCTTTAACTTTATCTACTGTCTGATTATTCTATTCCATTTATTTAACACTTCTAGTACAACTAATGGATATACATTAATCTTAATTAGAAATCAAACATTTTTTCATTTAATTAATTTACCGAAATCTCGTTTGTACATTAGAACTTTTTTTTATAACTCACTCGTTTTAATGATCAAGATTCTTATTCACTGAAGTCACTGTCAGTAATCTGTTGTTATTGAATTCATACCTAAAATCTAATATGATTTTACTTTTTCTTAACATTTAAATTCTTCATCAGTAAGAAACTAAAAAACAAAAAGCTACTTATATTTATTAAGTTTTTTCTTGATATTATTGTTATTTCTTAATTATGATACACAGTTTACAATTGATTGATCACTGGTTGGTGATCAATGACATGTGTGTCAGGTCCTTCTTAGTGCAGATCGAATGCTATCGACCAAGTTGCAATGTAGCCACTAGTCTAAGTGACTCGACATTGCGTGCACTAGATCCCTCAAGATTACAGGTACACTTTACTGATGAGTGCCGAATAGCAGGAAACCCGGACCCACGGTTTCCTATTGACTACCTCCAACCACCATCTTATGGTACACAGTGTTTCGAAATACTATTGATTTACTTAAGCTTTTAATAAATTCACAATTTACACTGTCAAATATTCAAATATCGTATGCACCATGTTTATTGTAGGTTAGTTAATTAAATATGAGAATATAAATCCGTGAGATTTTCAGACAAAAGTTTAAAATTATTTTCATTTTACATTTAACGCTAAAGTTTCCAAGTAGTCAGATTATTAAAATGAAACCAATGAATTTAGTGACAATTTTGTAGACGGTGAAGCTTTGAAGTTACATTGTTTTGAATTTTCTGTTTCATGTTTGTTTGTTTTTTATACAGCTTATATAACTCGATATTTTTCCTCATTTTAAAATGACATATTTCGTCTAAGGTAATATGTGTACAATTCTGTATTTGAAGTGTCTTTTCTAAGACTGTTCTAATAATTAAAAAAAATTAGAGTATATCAGATAAATAATAGGTAATTAGTACGTCTCTTGTAGCGTGGGTAAGATACTCATATACCAGCAAAACAATTAGTTTATCACCTAGCAGTTCTCTCCGTTCTACGTTATAGGTGTTAAGCATCCCCATGAAGAATAGTGGATTATTGGTATTCGATCATAACTGTCTTCAAGGCACTACTCGTTGGTATTGATACCACTGAGTAAGCATTGTTGAGGTTATACATAGGATACTGAGTAAAGATGGCAAATCTATTGATGAAGTAGTGAATCTTCGTCGACTGAAGTGGTTTGGGGCATGTTTTACATACACCCAATCGCCGCCTACCTGGATTCGCTGGGTTGACTGGTATAGGAATAATCTAGGAGTGGTAAAAACAACATATTGCATCAGTCCATGAAGTCATTGACACTTGAATTAAGCCATATAGGTAGATGAAAAATGTGTGATTGGGTTCTATACGATTATGTGGCTAATGGATAGATATATTTGGGTGGAATGGCTTAGAATCGTTCTCAACGGCACAGGTGCACTCACACCTTCTATTCTCCTTGATCTCCAGTTCCCGAATTAACTTATGGTACTATTTAGTCCATGAACCCATATTTTCATTTCGAATAATCTCCATGTTTAATCACTTTTACCACTATTAATATCCATACTACTTCTGCTACTCTGACGCCTCTCTATGCTAATGAAAACTGGAAACAATGCACATACGTGCCAATTTCTACGTTGATTATGACTGACTGACTAAATT